TGTGGTCAACAACACTCGCCGCGATCTATATCCGCCCTCACCCCCTTGCACGCGCATCCCATATATGTTTTCAGGTGGTTGAGATTGCCCCTGCCCCGCACCTGCCCTCCGATGTTCGCCAGCAGCTCTGCCAGGTTTGTCTCATGTGTTATTGTGACTGTGTGTGTGTGTGTGTGTGTGTGTGTGTGCTGCGAATTGCAGCAAGCGCACCTCGCCTGTGGCCATCCCTCACCCCTGCTCGTCTCTTCCCTCCTCCCCCTCCCGCCCTCAGGATGCTGTTGCGATTGGCCGCTCTCTCAACTACCGCAACGCCGGCACCGTCGAGTTCCTCGTCGACACATCCGATGGCCGGTGAGCTGATACGGTGTTGTGGTGTTGAGGGTGGAGATGTTGGCGTGGTGTTGATGGTGTGGGTGCTGCGTGCATGCACTGGTGTTGATGGTGTGGGTGTTGCGTGCATGCACTCGTTTATGTTTCTATTGTTGCTTTGTCAATCATGTTCTCTATTGGTGTTTATTGTTGTTTGGACAAACACCACCGCGCCTGCCCCAACGCTCACCCCAATTACCCAACGTACGCAATGTGGTGCAGTCATTACTTCATGGAGGTGAACCCGCGCATCCAAGTCGAACACACCGTCACGGAGATGGTGAGCTGTCGTGGCCATGACACGTTTGAAGAGAGAGGATGCGTTGTCGTGCTTGTAGCGTGCTGGTCCGCTTCATTCCCCCCCCCCCAAAAAAAAAAAACACGCACACACACGCACACACCTCGCTCACACTTCCTCCATCCTCCCTTTCCTTCTCCTGCCTCTCTTCCTCTCCCTCTACCCGTTCCTCCCCTTTCGTGTCCCCACCAGGTGACTGGCATTGACCTTGTGCAATCACAGCTGATGATTGCTGGCGGCGCGACGCTGCAAGATCTCGAGCTCAAGCAGGACACAATCGCCACTCGTGGATACAGCATCCAGGCGCGCATCACCACGGAGGACCCGCTCAACGACTTTGCCCCCGATACAGGTGCACATGGACGGAGTGGAAGCTTGCGTGTGTTTGCGAAGAGAGAGAGGAGAGAGAGAGAGAGAGAGAGAGAGAGAGAGAGAGAGAGAGAGAGAGAGAGGAGAGAGGGAGGGGTTGAGAGAGAAGTTGGTGTTTTCTGTTGGAAAGAGGGTACCAGTGGCAGGTGTCAAGCTACCCGCGCATAGAGCATGAATTCTTGCCGCAACACTATTCACTCCTCACCACCAATCACCAATCACCAATCACCACCACGACCCACCCCCTCCCTTTACTGTGCAGGTCGCATCCAGACGTGGAGGCCCGCTGTTGGGTTCGGCATTCGCCTTGATGGCGGCACACTGCATGACGGCGCCGAGGTCCTCCCCTTCTACGACAGCATGCTCATCAAGGTGCGCAGTGATGTGCTTTGGTGGTGTGCACTCCTGCAATGTGTCATTGAACCTGACTGCATCTCGTTGTGGTTGCATTTTTATCACACAAGTCGCTCACGCTGCACACCATGCGACTTGATCCTTCTCGCCGCACCTTTCCACTCTCCCCTAACCACACGCGCACACACACACACGCGCGCGCACACACACACACACACGCACACACGTACAGGTGACGAGCCACGCCATGAAGTACGAGGATGCCGTGCACAAGCTGTCCCGCGCACTGATTGAGAGCCGCATCCGCGGTGTGCGCACGAACGTTCCCTTTATCCTGAATGTGCTGCGGCACCCGACCTTCCTTGGCGGCGGTGTCACCACCCGCTTCATCGAGGAGCACCCGGAGCTCATGGAGTTCCCAGAGCGCCAGAACCGCGCCGGCAAGGTGAGGGGTGGGTGTGCGTGCCTGTGTGTGTGTGTCTGTGTCTGTGTCTGTGTCTGTGTGTCTGTGTGTGGGTGTGTATCTGTGGGTGTATCTGTGTGTCTGTGTCTGTTCCCCCCCCCCCTGAACGTCAGTTGTTCATGTCTTTGCCTCTTTTTCACTCTCATCTGTCTTCTGCCTAACATCCAATGTCCCATCCACCCACTTCCTTCCGCTTCCTTCCTGTTTCACCTGCCGCCAGCTGCTGAACTACCTGGGCGATCTTGTTGTCAACGGCCGTTCGGTTGTTGGGGCAACAGGCCCAGACCCGGAGCCTGTGGAGATTATCATGCCCTCTACCCACTACGAACGCCCATGCGAGGAAGGCTTCAGGAACATTCTCACGCGCGACGGCCCAAAGGCGTTTGCAAAGGTGTGTGCGTGCGTGTGCGTGGGCGTGTGCGTGTGCGTGGGCGTTGATTCGAGCAATCACTTTTGGGCAGCTGTTCTGACACGAAGTGCTGTTGTCAACGACACCCGCCTTATGTTTCTGTGCTTGCGTTGTACCAAGGCTGTTCGGGAGCACCGCGGCCATTTGCTGATGGACACAACGTGGCGTGACGCGCACCAGTCACTGCTCGCCACCCGACTCCGCACAAAGGACATCCTCACCATCGCCCCCGCCACATCACACATCCTCAAGGGTCAGTCTCGCGGTTGTGTTGGTTTGGTGTGTGTGTGTGTTGTGTGTGTGTGTGTTGTGTGGGGTGAACATGGGGATGGGGGGGTGACAGACGGACAGATAAACACAGTCAGAAGAGTCAGATCGCGTGCGTTCCTACGCCACCCGAAGTTTGTAGGTGTAGCCTTCCACCGCGCTTCCGTTCTTCAACGACACTCCTCACCACTCATGCTCTATCTCCTTCCCACACTGGCAGGCCTGTACTCGATTGAGAACTGGGGTGGCGCGACCTTCGACGTGGCCATGCGTTTCCTGCACGAGTGCCCTTGGGAGCGCCTTGAGCAGATGCGTGAGCTCGTTCCAAACATCCCCTTCCAGATGCTGCTTCGTGGCGCAAACGCCGTTGGCTACAAGGCGTACCCGGACAACGTCATCTACGAGTTCTGCCGCACGGCTCACAAGTACGGCATGGACGTGTTCCGCGTGTTTGATTCGCTCAACGACATGGAGAACCTGCGGGTTGGCATTGACGCTGCCGGAAGCGCCGGCGGTGTTGTTGAAGGCACCCTCTGCTACACAGGTGCGTTCATTGGCCCTGTTGTTTGTTGTTGTTGTTGTTGTTGTTGTTGAGGTTGTTGTTGAGGTTGTTGTTGTTGTTGTTGTTGTTGAGGTTGTTGTTGTTGTTGTTGAGGTTGTTGTTGTTGTTGTTGTTGTTGTTGTTGTTGTTGCTGTTGTTGTTTGTTGTTGTTGGCTGCGCTGAACTCGAAAGGCTGCCGGTGTGCATGCCTTAGTGTGTTGACGTGCTTTACCTTTCACATGTGCTGTGCCCTCACCTCTGCTACCCTGCTCCTCTTCCCCAACGCACACACACACACACACACACAAACCATTCCTCACTACCTTCGCCCTCTACTCTCCTCTCCCCCTCCTCCTCCTCCTCCTTTCCCCCCTCGTATTGCCCAGGCGACCTGACCAACCCTGCCAAAACCAAGTACACGCTCGACTACTACCTGAAACTCGCCGAGGAGCTTGTCAACCTCGGCTCGCACGTGCTCTGCATCAAGGACATGGCTGGTGTGCTGAAGCCTGACGCGGCAACGCAGCTCGTCTCTGCGCTGCGCAGCGAACACCCTGATGTCCCGATTCACGTGCACACACACGACACCTCTGGCCTGAGCGCGTTTTCCATGATTGCCGCTCTCAACGCGGGTGCTGACGTCGTCGACGCAGCAACAGACAGGTGGGTGGGTGGGTGTGTCTGTGGGCGCGTGTGTGTGTCTGTCTGTCTGTCTGTCTGTCTGTCTGTCTGTCTATGTGTCTGTGACAGTGTGTAGGTACATGTCAGCTTTTGTTTTTCACTTGATACTCATCAAGTCAGTTGTTTGTTGTGTTTGGATGTGTATATGCGTGTGCTTACGTGTGTACAGCATGTCTGGGATGACGTCGCAGCCGAGCATGGGCGCCATCGTGAGCCACTTCATGCGCGGGTCGGAGTCGCTCTGCGGCATCAACCCAGTCGAGCTCAACGAACTCAACGAGTACTGGGAGAGCACACGCCTCCTCTATTCCCCGTTCGGTACGTGTATGTTTGTCTGTATGTGTGTATGTTTGTCTGTATGTCTGTGTGTTCGCTTTGCTCATCACCTGGCGTTTGTCTTGCCAGTCACTTGCGTGGATGCACTTGTTCTCTTCCTCAGCCTCACACACACACACCCTTCCCTTTGCCACAACTCCATCTCAACTTCTTCCACCACAACCACCACCACCCTCCTCCTCCTCCTCCTCCGCCTCCGTATCTTTAGAGTCTGGCCAGAAGAGCGGCAGTGCGGATGTGTTTGTGCATGAGATTCCTGGCGGGCAGTACACCAACCTCTTCTTCCAGGCGACGTCGCTCGGGCTCTCGTCCCAGTGGCGTTCCATCAAGCACGCGTACGCTGCAGCAAACCGCATCTGCGGCGACATTGTCAAGGTGCTGACGCTGGTGGTGGTGATGATGATGAGGGTGTGGGGAGGAGGAGGATGTGTTGGGTGTTTCCATCGGTCACGTTTGAGTCTGCGCGCGTCAACAGATGCGATTCAGACGCAATTCGCACTCATCCAACACTCACACACGCACACGCACCTACACGCACGCACACACGCACACACAATGCAGGTGACGCCGAGCTCGAAGGTTGTTGGCGACTTGGCGCAGTTTATGGTGCAGAACCACTTGACTGAGCAGAACGTGTACGACCGGGCAGAGACACTCAACTTCCCCACGAGTGTGGTGGAGTACTTCCAAGGATACCTTGGCACGCCGCCAGGCGGCCTCCCCGAACCGCTTCGCACGCGCATCGTCAAGGACAAGCCACTCATCACCGTACGTGTGTGTAAATGTGTCTGTGTGGTGTGTGTGTGTGTGTGTGTATCTGTGTGTCTGTGTGTGTGTGTGTGTATCTGTGTGTCTGTGTGTGTGTGTGTGTGTGTGTGTGTGTGCATCTGTATCTGTGTGTCTGTGTCTGTGTCTGTGTGTGTGTTGGTGCTTCCAAGCAAGCTTGCATCATCAACCCCATTTCTGTTTCACTCTACCTCCTCTTCCCACCCTACGCTACCTCACCCCCATCCCCCCCCCCCGCGTCTCAATTGTTCAGGGCCGACCTGGTGCGACGATGGAGCCGCTTGATCTTGAAGCGCTGCGCCTCGACCTCCACGCCAAGTTCAGCCCCGAGGGTGTCAAGAAGAACCCGGCCCTCGCAAGCAAGTACATTACCGACAAGGACCTCATGAGCGCAGCCATGTACCCCAAGGTGACGCGCAGAGTGGGGAGAACGGGGGAGGGGTGGGTGGATGGGTGTGTGTGGGTGTGTGGGTGTGTGTGTGTGTGTGTGTGTGTGTATTCCTCCGTCCGTCCGTCTGTCTGTCTGGGATGGGATGGGATGGGATGGGATGCTTTGGTGGTCATGTAGCGAACACGTTGTCTCCTTTCTTTGTGCGAACTGCAGGAGTATGAGGACTACCGCAAGTTCAAGGAGCAGTTTGGAGACGTGTCGAAACTGCCCACGCGCGAGTTTATTGCCCCGATGCAGCCGGGACAGGAGGTCACCGTGGACCTGCAAAAGGGTGCGAGCAGGCGGCGGTGGTGGAAGTTAGGGATGGGGAAGTTTTGTGTTTGGAGTGAGGTTGTGTCGGGTGTGTGTGTGTGTGTGTGTGTGGGGGCGTGGGTTCGTGGCTTAGAGTATGTATTCTTGTACTCTCTTTTTTTGTTTTCATTTTTTTGCTTTTTTTCTTGGGTGATGGTTCATTTTTTTTTTTTTTTTTTTTTTTTCTCTTTCTTTTTTTCTTTTTTATTTTTTTTTTTTTTTGCTAATATTCTATTAGCCCCCTATACCCCCTACCCTTCTTTTTTTTTTTTTCTTCCCGC